TATATATAGCCTATATACAGACAGAGAGAGATAGTATCATTTTGTTAAGATAGACCATATAGAAATATGTAGTATTTGAAAAAAAAAAAACAATAATCCAATTAATTGTGAGTCTGATACGTTTGTGAATTCTCTAATACTGAGATTACAGTGCCCTCTACAGGTAAAAAAATAGATTTTTTTTATTATTTTTTTTCTTTTTGTTCTCTATTTTTCTTTTTTCCTATGAACCCTTAGCTAAACTCCAATCTGAAACTGGTCTTGAGATGTTGTTATAGAGAGCATCACTCCTTCGAACAGAATCTAACACTTTAAGGTATTCTTTTTAATCGGAATACAATCTTCATATTTCTTGCTGTTGATCTGGTCATTTGGAGGGGAAAGGGAGGTATGCACTGTTATTGCGGTTGTGCACCTTAAGGAAAATCGTCTCTAGTGAGCCTTTCTGCATGTAAAGGTTCTTTTTTAGTGTAATATGATCGATAACAGAGGGTCAACCCTGAAAATGCTCCTCTGCTCCTCTACCTCTCTTCCTGCCCCCCCCCCCCCCTTCCTGTGCATTCAACTAGACTATGCTTCTTTGATTGCTTTTTTTTTGTACTTTATTAAACAATTTCAAAATTACAAAATAGGCACAAGTAAACATAAACTGTCAACATGCTGATGAAGATTCTCAGTCATCCAGATCATAGTCATTACGTAAAAGTAAAAAAAAAAAAAAAAATCCCTGGACTTGGTTTCCAACATTTCAAATCTTGGAAACCAAGTCCAGTGGATTTATTTTGTACTTTTACGGAATAAAGTGTCAACCAAAAATAGCCAAGCATTCCTTTAACCAGATTTACCATAGCCATATGAATTGCCTTGACTACAGACAGGAACTGTTTCTGTGGACAATTTAAGTAAAAAAAAATAAAAATAAATCTAGATAATCTAAAATGTCACCCTCTGTATCCATTAAGTGCACAGTGGCCTAAACTCCCCTTTCCTCCCAGTCCTTATAGTAAAATGATTTTCTCTTGTAGAATATATTATTTATTCCAAACAATCATATTATGTCGATTGAGATTGTGTTTGTATAGCATTTTCCAGTATATTGATATCTTTGTGTGCTAATCTGACAATTTAATGTGTAACTTTGAGGGATCAAAGTCACATTTCAACAAAAATTTAATTCAACTAACTCTGAAAAAGCTGAATAAGGAAACCAACCATTTTAATTAAATTAAAGAATTCATCACCTCAAAATCAATAACCTTCATCCCTCCCTGTGTTATTGGTTTTTGAATGTCAGTCTTTCTGATCAAATGCTGTTTATTATTCCATATAAAACTGTAATTAATTTGATGGATTTTTTTTATTGTACTGTTTGGTATATTTAAACTGTGTGCTTGAAAAATTCTTGTTGATATCCTCTCCATTTTTGTGAAGCTGAGGTTCTGATTGGCTAATTACAAAGTTAACACACCCTGATTAAATTTCCCAAAGCTAGATTGGCTGAAGAAGAAAGAGAGGGGAGTGGTGAGTTGAGGAGTAGATAAATATCATTTAATCTTTCCTCACATTCATCACTCCACCTTCAGATGAAACAACAGGAGAGAACCTGCAGAAGAAACTCTCTATTCCCTGAGATGTGAGAGAGCTGTGGTCCATTTCAATAAGCGGGTTTACTGAAAGCTGTACGTTTTCTAAACCTGGATTTAGAGAATGGTAAATGGTAAACTAAAATTTCAAACAAAATGACATTCATCCATCCATCCTTTTTCTGTCACGCTTCATCCATGCTGGGATAGAAAGGGGTGCTGATGTCTATCTCCAGCTGTCTACAGGCGAGTGGCAGGGTGCAACCCGGACAGGTCGCTACTCCATCGAAGGCAAAATTACATTCTTCATATCTAAAATAAACATTCTGGTGTTCGGAAATGTATTTCATTTTTCCTTATTCCCATTGGCACCAGTCATAACTTGTATTATTTTGACTATGAAGAAATATATGTCAGAACGGCCCCTTAAAATATTTAAATATTTCTAGGTATACTACTAAAGTAAGAGTTGCACTACTTCTTCATATTTCTAATCAGGTACAAGTAAAAAGTAACCTTTGAAGAAATTACTCAAGTAAGAATAAAAAGGTAGGTGGTAAAAAAAGCTACTTAGTGAAGAAAAAAAAATTAACAAATAAGCCTAGAGTACAAAAAACAAGAAAGTTTGTCTCTTAATGGTACATAGTTGTTTAGAACGACCCTGTTTTCATTAAGTGTATTCATAAGTGCTGCTGTTTTAATTCCCTGCCACAGACTACCAATAACGAAGGGATACAATTTAACATGCTTTTTAAGAGTGGACAGTGGATTTCTGAGTCATTTTCACTCAGAGTAAGTTTTTCCAACGGTGCAAAATTATGAATATGGACGTGGTTCATAAAACAGGTTTTGATAGCTTTCTTATAGCCAGAGGTTTTAAAACATCTTTTTAGTTACTAAATAATCAATGACCTAAATGTAACAACTGTTGAAAGGAGTGAAATGTAGGTAGATAGTCCCTGGTTGCTAGACTACAGTACTTGCCTGACTTATTGGAAAAGGATGTCTCTGGAAATTATATAAATAGCTTGGGTCAGCATATGCTGTCTGATAAACCAGGAACTTTGTAAGGGCTCTAACATAGGGTAACACTTGGTAGGTCCAATAACATAGAAACCCAGGTTGATTTCAGATTCAAAGCTTGAGAAGAAGGGAAGAGATGGGGGGGGGGGCTAGATTCCGGTAACACTGTTAAATACATCTTTTTATGTCAAATCTCGTTGTAGTTCATGAATGAAGTAAAACCTTGGTCTATCTTTATGCAATATTAAGAAAATATTTATCTTTCCCCAAAACCAAAATGTAGTAATGACTGTAAAATTATGTTTCACTGGTGCTTTTCCATATGTTTTCCACTCATAAGACAACTGACAAAGGCAGGTGTAAGATTCTTATTGTCCATATTGAGTAAAGTAATTGGTCTTAAGGTATTGTGGCATACAGCAATCAGCTGAGAAAGGATACATGTTTAACATGATGTAAATTCAATACTGTTTATGTTCAGTGTGGTGAAATTGTTTTCCAAAAAGGACAGGTTGTTTTGTTATTTCTAAATTAGTTATTGAACACTAGTCACTGTCTAATCTTGACCAGCAGAGGGCGCGTTCGCTACACAGTGTGTTCCCGATGCAGATGAGGCTTGAGACAATCTCACGCAATTCAATGTTTGTATTGCACAAATTATGGTGTTAAATTGCTGCCAAAAATTAGACGAGCGTCTTAAGGAATCACAATAGTTCAATTATGAATCACAACCGTCCATTTATGCTGGTTAAGGTTCTCAGTCATCCAGGTCATAGTCATTCCATTTCAAAGGTTTAGTGGGGTGCAAATCTGGTCCGGAGTGAAACTGGTCCTGTTGTTTAGGTCACTTTCTTGTTAAAGACATTTCCTGACTGTTTCTACTGCCTCAGGTATGCACGTGAAAAGAGAGGTAACATCAAAAGACATCAGGGTTTCTCCTGATACCATCTTTAAATGTTTGACTTTTAGGCCATGTGGTTTGTTCTGTAATGTGTTTTTAAACGTGTGAACCTTCCAGGGGATGACAAAAATTAGCAATACCAAACTCTGGTATGAGGCATCTCATCTTTTTAAGTTTAGTATATTTTGTACACTGTCACTGTTAAAAAAACAAAACGAAAAAAATAACTTAAACGGAATGTAACTGCAAAGGCACAAAAATAAGGCATAGAAGTGAACAAAACAACAAAAACTGTTGATTATATCCAATGCTATTCATAGCATGGGACCAATAATCTGTGAATATATTGGACTTTTTAATGTAAACTAATTTTTCAAAACTTACTGAAAAACTTGCTACATTAAAACATGTTCAAACATTTTTAAAACAAATATATCTTTAAAAAAATGATGAAAAATTAATTTTAATGTTCAAGTACAGTAAAATATGCATTAATATGAGCTGAAGGGTCATCATTAAAAAAAGTGGACATCAGCTTGACCTCCAACCCCCCATGTGTAGATTTGATACACTTGTGTTAATGATGAAAACTGTTGACAACCACTTAAAACTATTTGCACAATAATTGTTGACACGAATATGTGCAAAAACCTAAATTAAATGAAAAAAAAAGCAATTATTAAAGAATATATGATATGTAAAACATCAATAATGAACAAACCTCCAGTCTGGTTGAATCGTTGTTTTGCAATGTCTATGTTGACATTGAACATTTGTTGTTTTTCCCAGCATGTCTTAGTTTCCTCCTCCCAGTAACGTGGATGTTCTGAACTCACTTCATTCATCCATTCCTGTTTAGGAATGTTTTTCTGGGTTCTGCTGTCACAGTAACTGATCTGAACTCCATCC